TGTCCCACTGGGACCGGCCGAATCCCACTATGTCCCGCTGTAGTCGGCCGAGTCCCACTATGTCCCGCTGTAGTCAGCTGAGTCCCACTTTGTCCCGCTGAGACCGGCCGAATCCCACTATATCCCGCTGTAGTCGGCTGAGTCCCACTTTGTCCCGCTGGGACCGGCCGAGTCCCACTGTGTCCCGCTGGAACCGGCAGAATCCCATTGTGTCCCACTGGGACCGACCGAGTCCCACTATATCCCTCTGTGGTCAGCAAAGTCCCACAATGTCCCGCAGTAGTCGCCTGAATCCCACTATGTCCCGCTGTAGTCGGCTGTAGTCGGCTGAGTCCCACTTTGTCCCGCTGGGACCGGCCGAGTCCCATTGTGTCCCGCTGGGACCGGCTGAGTCCCACTATGTCCCATGGTAGTCGGCTGACTGAGTCCCACTATGTCCCGCTGTAGTCGGCTGAGTCTCACTCTGTCCCGCCCGACACGTTCTAGAGATTTTTCATATTGTTCTAGAGACTTTTTATATTCCAATGACGTCATTGAATTCATTAGTGCTTCCATATCTATGTCAATATACTTACAATACACCTACCTTGACTGTTTACACCACCGAAGCTATCGGTGACGCCTGCGCTACCGTTACCCTGTGTTTGTCGTCCCCACTGGCGTCTGGCGGTCTGCTGTTGACGGTTTGTTTACTTGGTTCAAGGTTTCAATAAATCGCGTTATTTTTTTTGGTAGCAGTAGCAGTAGTAGCACTGCTGATGGATGATGGACTGACATTCATGGGGCGGAGGACTTTTTATCAGCTCACAACTTAATATCACGAATATTATGACAACCTTCTAGTCCTCCATTTATTTCACATTTTCTTTTCAAACACCATATTTTTAGTATTCAAGTTGTAGGTTTTTTAGGGGGGGCAAAAAGATATGTTTGCCCAGAGGTTTTCCGTTTAGGGGGGGCAATTGCCCATTTTGCCCCAACGTAGATCCGCCACTGCTAGCAACAGGTTTTTAAATGAGCCCATTTGTAAGTCGCTGGTGCAAATATCCTCATCCATCTCCAGGTCAATTGGTTCGGTGACTCTCAAACAAATTTAGCAGCCCTTTACCTCGGTCGGGCTTGATGGATCCACGGCACCGATACGCGGTACTTTTAACCATCGCCGCCCCGTTGTGGGGGGGGGGCCATTTTGGCCCCCCCCCTGTGGTTTTTCCTGAACAGCAAGAAAACGGCGGGCCAAAATTTCAGTACCTTCCCCGGCATCAATTTGACACCTTCACATTAAATTTCAAGTCTTAGGTCACCTTAGGTCAGGAGTTATTGAGGTCAAACTGAGGTCATGTTCGAGCAAAAATGAGCAAAAAACATGCAATCTTGAAACGCTCACCAAATCTACAGTTATCAAGCAATTTCAAAGTTATTTATATGGTCCAGTAGACAAAAAGCGGCGCTACAAAACTGTTATCTCAGATTTTCAAAATTTTGGGTTTTTGACCACAAAAATTCAAAAAATTGATTTTTTTTAAACTAAAAAAAATCCAAATTGTTTCCGAATTTAAAAAACCGGAAAATATGTGATAGTCCCTGCGCTCTTCTACATATACACAAAATGTCAGATCGATATCTCGTTTTTTGGCCAAGTTATAGCGAAAAAACTGTTCAAAAATGATGACGTCAAATTTTTGAACTCAATTTTTAGCAATTCTAGACCACGTACGGCAAAACAAAGACCTCCATTGAACTCACCGTGACGAGCTGCATCGATTCGATACCCATTTTATGCAAAAATATTAACTTTAAAATTTGACCTAATTTGACCTGACCTTGACCTGACCTTGACCTGACCTTGGACCAAAACGTGACCTAAGCTGGCCCCAAAGGCTGCCTGACCCACATAATCGCATTTGTCATGTAAAATGGACCATAAAACATGTATCACACGACACTTTCATATTGTGACCCCCCGTGACCTGACCTCTGTGACCTGACCTGGTATCAGTGACCTCAAATAGCAAAATATGTGTTTGAAGAACATTTCCCCATCGATGATTTTCAATGAAATGCATTTTACTCGATTTTACAACGCATTTCTTGAAATGCCTGTAAACTGTGAAAATTGGACCTTTGACCTGACCTGTGACGTCATCGGTTTGACCTAGGTCGATAAAATTGGGTCACAAGGTAGTTCTCTGATAGGGCTATCCAACACCCTTTGCCGCTTGTCGCTAGGTTGCGTGATTCTCGAGATCTTAGGGGGGGCAAAATGCCCCCCCCCCCCCCCCCCAACAGGGCTCGTTGCTCGGCAGAGCCCAACGGGGCGCGGGTTAAGAGAGTGTGTGCACCATAAGTCATACCCACCAAGGTGTGCAGAGGAATATGCACTAACCAGTCATAACCACCATGAATCTATAGCTACAACCAAGGCCCTAAATACAGCTTCAACCATCTCTGAAACGTTTTCATGCTGCCTTTTGCTGGACAAGGGTCTTGCAATTCAAGGAAAGGGCCCAATCTTAGCTGCAGGTCGCTCGATACAACACCGCTGAATCACTAAACGACATTTTACAGTGCGTTGGTGCAAATTGCATACAATATTTAGTAGCTGCTTGTTTGTGGGACAATTGCTTCCGTGACCTCTCTTTACATGTCAGGAAGAGTTTAACGACCTTGATAAGCTGTATTCTTTTGGAATTTGATTTTATTGTGTGCATGATTTTTTTTTGTAAGTTTAGTGGTAAGTGAAAATGAATCTTTTAGCGACGCTGCAAGTTATAAGCATACACGATTGTATTATTTTACGCATAACAACCTCGAGTAGTGCATTTATTCAACATAATTCGCTGCCAAGATAAGGACAGCTATAACTCTTTAATCGCCACGCCTTGTGATGTATTGTAATATCGCGCCTTGTAAAGCTTGCAATTTCAGTGCGTTCATAAATACCTAAGGTCATTTTTTTTACCTAAGTGGTGCATCTGAAAAACAGTACCATTGCATATCAGCCTCGGCGTGACTTGTTTAATTTAGAGTGAGTCGCTGGAAAATAATAAAGCAGTTCCACTGACATTCCTTCTCCATGTGCCTAAGGAGATTATGTGATACCTTTTTACTACAAAAGAAAATTGAGTGGCACCGGCCGAATCGATTTTGACATTTTCAGCGGCACCCAGCGTTGCAGTCTCCGTACTGAACACAATTCACACGGTGGCACTAGCACCAGTCACGCCACAGGGCTCCAGTTCTTATTGCTTACTGCTTGTATTTGTTGTTCAAGGACTTATTGCATCTTGTGATGTGTTAATTCAAAACTTGGACTTATATCTGAGTCAGCAACACCCTTATTTTGTCAATAGAACTCATTTCGAGTTTCAGCAGGAAGTTGCAGTATAAGCGTCAGAGTCATTCACAAGCATCTCAGTCATTAGACAGAAACCTAATACCTCATGAGAATCATGTCCTATATGAAGACGTGGAACGTGAGTCAGCCATTTCACTTCCAAGCTTTGTCTGATTCCTCAGTTTAATGGCAACCTTTTCAATAGAACCTTAAAAAGCAGCATAACAAGTTTAAAAAGACAGCTCAAACTTAGCACTCACTTTTTATAACGGCATGTTTGAAATCCTAGTGTCTCACGATCCAAGCGACAATAGCTCACATCATATTCTTCAGCATACCGGCTATGCGAAATAGGTTCCAGTCGTAAAGCAAAGTTCGCGGGCCTATCTCCCGCCCGTGTAAATAAGCACCGCGCCGAGATCCGAACCCGCGCCGCGCTGGGCAGACGTGGACACGCGTGACTCAGCGATTCTGCTGACCTGCGAGGGCGCCCGGTTTCACCCTGAGCTATAGGGGTGACGTCATGCTGAGGTGGTCGCTCGCACACGTTTTCATCCAGTCATAGAGGAGTCGCCGGTGGATGAGGCTGCGGACTCGGCTCTCCGTCAGCGACGTGTGGTGATCCCGTGCGCGAGGAAGGTTACGGTGCTACAGATCAGACTTTGCGAGAAAAGTATCCATTACCACAACACTGTGTGCCGTGGAAAAGCAGCTCTGCTTCAGTATTCAGTGTTAGAAGTGCCGGAGCTGGGGATTTATTATGTGCTATTTGTTATGCAATGTGCTTATACATTGATACAAATTAAAGATATTCGGAAAACGAACGCATGAAGATTTCTAAGTCCAGCGAGACAAGATGGTCGATACTCACGATCAAAGTGCCTTCTCAGCATGAGTTGACAGTGAGGTGAGGTGACATCACGGTGGGCGCCGCTGAATCGGATCTCTCCTCGAAGGCCATCTTGGAGCGGATGCCTGTCCGACCGACCGAACAAAGATGGCGAAACGGACTTCACTAGCGCCACGGTCTGCCGTATCTGCGGCCGTCTTCGCGATGTGCGTCTTCCTGGTAGTGTGCGAAAACACTACCCAAAGCTCCCCTAGCTCGGCTTCCATAGCTGAAGCTGTCACTGCGAAATCTCAGGAAGTGCTTTTGTGCAAGGCCACCTCAGCTGAAGACTATTTACGCTGTGGTGAGATTGATCAGGTTGTGACGAACGGCACGCTCATTGCAAGCAGCTCGTGCGATACAAACTGCTGTGTATTGGAAACATGTTACCATGTTCTTAAGAACGATATCAGTTTCCATATCTCTGGTGGTTACTGTGAGGATATCTCGGAGTCGGACTACCTCAAAGTGTGTTTCACGTTTCGATGCCAGATGAACAGGCCTGCTGGTAAAGAAGCTGAAGCTGGGAATTCCGAGTCTGAGGCCATTTCTGTAAAAGATTATGTTGTGACCCATCGACCGAGAGGTCCGCAGAGTGAAGTGTCGTATCGAAACAAGTCGTGTACGCTGTGCTTTAGCGGAGTAGGAAGTGGTGAAGCAGCAGCACTCGGAGAGAATGACACCGACGGTCATGTGGCTCAAGCCGAGGGCGAACGGCAGCAACTCTACCACTGCAAACTCGTCACAGCCATCCCACAGAAAATGAGAGGTGCCATGGAGGCATGTCTGTCTGGAGCTTCAGATTCTGTGCGAATCAGGGCAGATTCTGAAATGCTGAAGCTTCAGTGGACTTGTACAATACTTGCTAATAAGTGTGGAAACTCAAGTAGAGTGCAAGAAAAGGGAACACAGGTCCTCGAAAGGTCATGCTGTGCTCTTTGTGGAAACATTGGAACGCCGGAGAGTGTCAGAGTTGACGAAAATGAGACTGAAGACAGGGAGGAAACCAGTTCCACGACACTTTTATTGGTGCTCAACACAAACATAAGATACGAGCATGATTCCTTCACAACCGTTTCTTGTAATGATACTTCGTTTCGGAATGGGTTCTCTCTCAAGTATCGCGACTGCATTCATAAAATGAAGCTATCAAGTGGCGTAGACGCTTCTGAGTTCACCAATGTCCTACTTGATTCCACAGCTCAAGCTAAGGACAATAAGACTTTGAATGATGCCACCAAACGCAAACACCAAGTGCCTTGCGTCAAGTACTTGCTGTTTGCTGATGAGTTCGAGTTGCATGACGACGGAACTGTGTACGCCATCTCTCAAGACAGGCATTACAGTCCTGACGAGTACGAACACATTGGAGAGAACGTTGCCATCTGCTCAAAAATTGCCGGCTTTGGCAAAATTGGCGACACAATCTCCATCATTGCGCTCGTCTTCGTGTCCGCCTCCATGTTGTGCCTGTGCCTCCATCTGGCGGCGTTCTGCTTGGTGCCGAAACTCCGAAACCTCCCCGGAAAGAATCTGGCCTCGTTCTGTGTCGCACTGTTGTTGTCGTACACGTGCCTCCTGGCTGGCCCTTTTCCGGAAGTGGGCAGTAGCAGCTGCCGCGCTCTTGCTATCATCATCTACATCGCGTTTATCACATCCTTGCTCTGGACCAACGTCATGGCTTTCGACGTCTTCACCACATTGAGGTTTGTTTGCATCTACATATAATTCGGTACTTCTTTCTTGCTCCTTAAAGTATTGTACGTACACGTGTACTGAGTACTGCTGCTTGACCTCAAGGAAGCTTCATTTTTTTCAGCTGAATTTTATGTTCTAAATATCAGTAAGCTACCGCCGCACTTTATCTTCCAAGTAACATCTTGTCGCGGGCCTTGATCTTATCCATATTTTTCCCACGATGCTCAGGAGTCAGGGGACTCAGGAGCATCTGCATTTGCAGCACCCAAGTCCCAAACTCTTAAATATGACATGAAACGCATATTTTTATCTTCAGATAAAACAATTGCTCCTTCAGAGCTACCCATTCTCGCCCTCAGGCGTTCCGCGACAGAGCTCCGCGTCTCCAGCGGCGGCCGACCGCGGCGGTTCCTGTTCTACTGTCTGTACGTCCTGCTCACCACCGGAGCCCTGGCGGTGTCGGCCGTCTCCGTGGATCTCCTCAGAGACCCCTCGGACCCGTACCGGCCCGGCTTCGGCGACCGGGTCTGCTGGTTCAGCCGGCCCAAGGCCATGATGATGTTCTTCGCTGCGCCACTCGTCGCCCTCATGGTGGTGAACGTGGCGCTCTTTTGCGGAAGCGCCATCATCATCCGAAGAACGTCGCAGGCGACAGTCAACACCGCTTCGTCAAAGGTAAGCAGGGCTTCCCTCGCATTGGAACTCGTGTGTCAGGTGTGGTTTAACCCGCGCACCGACGGGGGTCTGCGCCAACTTAGTACCGACGGGGGGGGGGGGCGGATGACCGCCCCCCCTGAGATCTCGAGAACGAAGCAAGATAGCGACAAGCGGTAAACGGCATCGGATACGCACGGTCAAGATCTACAATTTTTACTAAGGTCATTTTCAGGTCAGGTCAAAGATGACGTCACAGGGGTCGAAAAAGTCAAAATGGCGGCGCTAAATATGGAGAGAGTTTTTCTCGAATAACTTTCGAACTAGTCAAGATAGGAACAAACTAAGGGCATCATCGTGATCCTCTCGTCAATCCGCATCGAATGATATATATGTTGACCTCGAAAGGTCAAGGTCAAAGGTTGACCTCAGGTCACGTGACCTCGAGGTCATCATGTATATCATTCGATGCGTCTTGACGAGCTGAACACAATGAGACCATCCACGCGTCTGTATCTTGTTCCTGTACGGAGTTATTGGCCAAAAACCTTTGGTGACCTTTGATGACGTCACATGACCTCACAGCTGCCCAACAGCAAAACAGACCTCAAGGTAGTGAAGGTTGATCGTATATGAAGTCATGTATGGTATATGGGGCCATTCCGACCCGTTTTAGTGGTAAAAACAGGGAGTTGATTTTTCCCCCATTGACTTATAATGGGGAGGTCGCGAAATTGACCTGACCTTAGGTCACCGATATCAAAATTCCGAGATATACAAATTGTAGCTACTAATGACCTAATAACATCCTGCGACTTTCAAAGGCCTCCGACATCTACTGTAGCTCTGGCACGGTGACAAAGTTGCAAAAAAGTGACTTGAGGTTGGGTCATTCAAAGTGACCTGGTGACCTGACCTTGAAAGGTAGGAGGTTCAAACTTGCACACCATGTGTAAAATTGATAAGGGAATAGTCATACCAAATTTCGCGGCGCTACGCGCCGCGGTTTTCCCGCTATTTGCGAAAAACCTCAGGGGGGGCGGATATCCGCCCCCCCCCCCGTCGGTGCGCGGGTTAATTTATATTAGCTCGTACATACTGTATTGTGAACAGAAGTTCGAAACAAATCGGTCAAACTTGTCCAAAAGCAAAGTCCCTACTGCTCAACTTGTAGTCAGGTGTCATATCAACTCCAGCGATAATGATGGTTTGGTTGTGTCTTTCTGCTATAAAATTATTTGCATTGCTTTTCTCTCAGCAAACATTAAGCCGTGGTGGTATTTGGCCTTCAACGATTATCACAACGATATCAGGGAACATGGTATTTTTACTACATACTACACGTATTTGCTAGGAAAGGACACGTTTTATCATGCTGTTTCAAGAATCAAGCTCTAGGAAATGCTACTGCCACATTTTGCTATCCATGGATTTGTCGGTGCCAACTTTGATTCGATTGGAGTCTACTGCCTCACCTTCCGTCTTTTCTGGCAGACGAACCTGCGGCTGTACACGCGGCTGGCACTGATCACGGGCATGTCGTGGGTGATCGGCCTGGTCGCCGGCTGGCTGCACTTCCCGCCGCTCTGGTACATCTTCATCGTCCTCGACACACTGCAGGGCGTCTTCATCTTCGTCTCGTTCACGCTGACACAGCGCGTGCGGCGGGACGTCGAGCGCGAGCTGTCGCGCTACTCCGCCAAGAGGAGGTGCTCAAGGCAGTCGCTTCGGTCCTCTCGTGAAAAGAACACGGTGAAAAGGGGAATTGAAGGGGAGAGGTGCGAAAGAGTGTTGAGGGGATACGAGAATACCGCGGTGTCTGAGAGTCTGCCGGGATGCGAGGGAGCCAGTGGCATTGTTAGGTTGAGCGTGATTGATCCAGTTTTTGCCGTGAAGGAAGAAATGCAGGAAGAAAACTTGGAAAATGGTAAAAACGGAATGTAAAGAAATGAATACATAGTGTCACAAAGACAAATAAACGCTAACCTAAGAAGTGTGTCTTATTAACCCGCGCCGGGCCGGAGGGTGTTTGAACACCCCCCCCCCTGCGGTTTTTCACAGATATCTCAAAAACGGCAGCGCGAAGCGCCGCCGTTTTTGGCACACCTGTTTGTGCATCTTTTCCACACATGTTGTGGAAATTTCAGACCCAGGTCACCTTAGGTCAGGTCACCAGGTCACGCCAAGTGACCTCACCTCAGAAAAAATAAGAATGCTCGTCATAGCTACACCGATTGATCGATTGCCTTGAAACTTTCAGCGATTGATTAGAGCAACATTATCTATAAAATATATATCTCGGAATTTTGATATCGGTGACCTAAGGTCAGGTCAATTTTGCGACCTCTCCGTTATGTCAATGGGAGAAAATTGAAAAGCGTCTGTTTTGCACGAACGCTATTCTAAACACTCTCAAACATCGAGATGTAGGTAAAATGGACACACTGAACCGGAAAATGGCAACTGTGACCCCTCGTTATGTCCCCGAGGTCATCTCAGGTCACAAACAGAATCTAACAGTTTTTCGCTAATAACTTCTGATAGAGACGTGCTAGAGCGCTGAAAACGCTTAGATGTGTTCGGCTCGACGTTGCGGATCGACTGATATGCAACATGACCTTTTCCGGTCAGGTCATGACCTTGACCTGAGGTCAGATTTTCAAGTTGACCTCTCAAGGTCAAATTATAGTTCATTCGACGCGCCTTGACGAGAGGAACACGATGGTGGCAAAAGTAATGTCTTGGCTCTTTTGAGTCAAAAGTTATTGCCGAAAAAAACGTTTTTTGTAAAAACGGCTATTTTTGGAGTTTTTGCCCTCTGGAGGCTAACCCGTTGACCTGAGGTCAAATCTGAGAACATTACTCAGAAAGGTCTGTAAAAGGGCTATCGAATGCGCTTTTCCGCGGCTCTGTAGCTCTATCGGTTCCCGAGATAGCCGTTGGCAGTTTCCAAAATGTTGAAATAGTGGACATTTGACCTTTGGTGACCTCTGGTGACCTGACCTTTGACCTGACCAAAAAAAAAAAATGACCGAAGTGTTCTCGTCCTTATTTTGGACGCTCTTTCGACTGCCGCTTACCGCGTGTCACTACGTGGCCCAGGAGCCGAGTTAGAAGCGGGGGTGTTCAGACACCCCCCGGCCCGGCGCGGAATCTCAGAGCACCGGCCCGGCGCGGGTTAATGCTCGGGGTGCTTTAGCTAAGAAGGCTTTTTAAGTAAGCTGTTCCCAAAATTATTGATGGAGTTAAGGGCTTGTGCGAGGAGCATTGTGATAGTTATTTGAATGTATACCTACAAGCATGAGCTTTCCTCGATATTGAACACGAAAAGTGCCGAAAAAGTGCTTATTGCCAGACAGTTTGTTCTAGCTTATAGAAAACTTATCTAGAAAACTTATTCTAGCAATAAAGAACTCTTTCGGCACTTTTCGTATTCAATATTATATCGAGAAAAAGTCATGCTTGTATATTTTCAAAAAGGTAACTAAACTGTTCCCATTACAACTAATTATAAAAAAATTCAAGTTTCTCGTAGAACTAGCTTTTTTTGGAAATTCGATCAAATGAGTAAGAGTTTCCTCCTACCTATGCGACCCCAGAAAATTGTTCCGACAACAGTGCCCAATCAAGCCGGTATAACCAGGGTATATAGAACAACGGGTACACCAACGACGCGAAAAGCGCCCATTTTACCTGGATGAGTTACATGGTAGTTGATATATTTTTTGAATATGGAAAAAAATAGAGTATTCCATTCTGAAGAATAAATACAAATTCATAAAGCAGTTATTTTTAAATTATATCTACCAGAAATAACATACTGACCATAGTTTAAAACTTAGTCTAAAGTTAGTTGAAAGGCGTAGTATAGTTGATAGGTACTAAGATGGCAGGAATCAACGGAAGGCAGAAATGGCGCAGATGTTTCATCCTTAAAATGTGTTCGCAAGCAGGATTTACGTGATGCTAGCAGTGGCGGCGGAAGCAGGGGGGCAAGGGGGGCAGCTGCACCCTAAAGCTATGGAAAGGGGCGCCTCGAAAATCTGTAGAGGAGGCAGGAAGTTAAGAGGTGCGGCAGCCATAAAGCTGAGCAGTGCGACACCGCAACTGATAAAGGCACTTGTGACACGAAGAGGGTGGCAATGACGTGGGAAAAGTATCTTTTGATAGGCTGAAGAGTGGAGGGCATCCTTATCTGAAACAAAGGCAGATGCTGCCGATCCTGTCGAATATAATCTTGCCAGGCGATAAAGGCTATAGGAGGGCGAAGCCACTCGAGAAGCGCGCCATGCGGAAGAGGGGCGCCTGCATGCGAAAGAGGGGCGCCTGTGTGTGGGACGAAAAAGAAACATTTATGGAGACGTCTTTGAAGGCGATAGCCTCCGAACGCCAACACGAACATATGAGGGCTTATAGCGTTGCAGGCTCCATGCGACAAAAAGGGGCGCCTGATGGCCGATATGCGAGAGGAAATTAGTTTGTGTAACATTTATCGGGGGCGGTTTGCCGTTTACAACATATGAATGTTAAGGGAGGTCCGAGATTGGGGCCTGTAAAATTGCACTGTCCGTATGGGCGGTTACACCCCTAGTGCTAGGGCGTATTTGGCGTTTTTTTTTTTTTTTTTTACTAGGGAGATGATTATGACCAGGAATAGCACTCTGCAAACTTCTATGGGCGCCTGTATAGGGGCGAAACTGATTTTCCAGTGCAGGGACGGCCATCGGCATTGTGGGGCGGCATTCATTCCACTGGGGCGTCTGCCAGTGTTGAAGGGCGGTATTCATTTCAATGGGGCGCCCGTTGGTGTTGATGGGCGACATGTATCACCTGGGGCGCCTATCGGAGATTGGGGCGGCATTAATTTCACTGAGGCGCCTATCGGCGTTGACGGGTGGTATTTATTCATCCGGGGCGCTTATCGGTGGTATAGGCCGGCATTCGCTTCACTGAGGTGCCTATCGGTGTTTTAAAGGGACCCTCCCAGTTCCCACCTTCAAAAAAGTTAATGAATTGGCATGAAAGTGATGTCCCTTGGTTCAGAAAGAGCGAAAACGAATATCTACCAAATTTCACCGAAAAATATTCACTGGTTTTCAAGATATCAGGCTTTTACTTTTGTTTACTTTTAGGGATCTCCCCTGTTACTAGCGACTTTATTTGGAAGCAATAATTTGGCAGCCTTAACCCTATTCCTGGCGGGGGGGCCTCAGGAGCCCCCCCCCCTGAGGTTTTTTGGTTATTTCTCCCAAATGCGTTGAGCTAGGAAGCTCAAATTTTCTGACTTTTCCTAAAAGGCTTCTACGCAACATGTCTGAAAATTTTGAGTTGATCTGACCTCAGGTCAGGTCACCAGAGGCGGTTTGGTGACCCTACCTCAGAAAAGTTTGCAATCACGCCAGAGCTAGAGTTTTTGACCGATCAATTTCTTCTCTTCAGGCTTTAGTTAGGGTACCAGTATGTGCAATTTGTATATCTCGGAATTTTGATATCGGTGACCTAAGGTCAGGTCAGTTTCGCGACCTCCCCATTATAAGTCAATGGGGGAAAAATCAACTCCCTGTTTTTACCACTAAAACAGGTCGGAATGGCCCCATATACCATACATGACTTCATATACGATCAACCTTCACTACCTTGATGTCTGTTTTGCTGTTGGGCAGCTGTGAGGTCATGTGACGTCATCAAAGGTCACCAAAGGTTTTTGGCCAATAACTCCGTACAGGAACAAGATACAGACGCGTGGATGGTCTCATTGTGTTCAGCTCGTCAAGACGCATCGAATGATATACATGATGACCTCGAGGTCACGTGACCTGAGGTCAACCTTTGACCTTGACCTTTCGAGGTCAACATATATATCATTCGATGCGGATTGACGAGAGGATCACGATGATGCCCTTAGTTTGTTCCTATCTTGACTAGTTCGAAAGTTATTCGAGAAAAACTCTCTCCATATTTAGCGCCGCCATTTTGACTTTTTCGACCCCTGTGACGTCATCTTTGACCTGACCTGAAAATGACCTTAGTAAAAATTGTAGACCTTGTCCATGCGTATCCGATGCCGTTTACCGCTTGTCGCTATCTTGCTTCGTTCTCGAGATCTCAGGGAGGGCCGAATCGGCCCCCCCCCCCCCGCCAGTTTCTTGTCCCGGCGGAGCCCGCCAGGAATAGGGTTAAAGTGCGGCAGACGTTGCGCGCAAAGCAGCGTATACCACCACGTGTTAACGATGGTTTTAGTCTAAGATTTAAAAATCGTTAGATCTCCGCTGACGTCACAAATTCTAAGGGGGCATTCCAATGCATTAGCCCCTTAGAATCCGAAAACTGCAAGTTTGAAATTCCATATCTTGGAATTAAAGCATTTTTCGATGTTGTGAGTGCCCAAACCGGTATTTGCAGGCCATGGCCACCAATTTGGCTATCTCAACTCAAAACTAATGTTAAGGTGGGAGTGTCCCTTTAAGGCGGCAGTAAATCCACTGGTGTCTGGGGCGCCTACCGGCGTCGAAAGGCGACATTCATAATTCATTTCACTGGGAGGCATATTGGTGTTGATGTGTAACATTCATTCTCCTGGGGCGCCCGGCAATGAGGGGGCGGCATTTATTCCGTTCCCCTGGGATGGGCCCCTATCGGTGTGGAGGCGTCGCCGTCGTATTAGTTTGAAATGGGGGCACCTCTGGGTGGTAATAGATGCATTCATTTCGCTGGGATACCTACCAGCGTTGATTGCCTGTTACCTGTATTCATTCATTTCGGGCTCCTATCGGTGTTGAAAGGCAGCATTTATTTCACTGGGGCGTCACAAACCTGCTACTCCCACCATAAACCTGATGACATTGAGCCAGGATGTCCGTTCCGAAGGGCTGACGTGATACTGATGACACCACTGAATGCAATAGTGCAGTGCAGCCCAGGCGGCATGCTGCTTACCGGCCTGCAATTCTCTGTCACCGAGTTAGTGTTATGGATTCGGCGCCTTATTCACTA